CCAGGTCCCCCACCCCCAGCTTTTTCTCTGCTTTCCCCTCCATTCCTGCCACTTGGGAGGGGTGTGGCCTGGGTCCCTTGCCTTATCTGGATCCCTGCCACTGCTTCCTCATGGTATCACTAGTATAGTTAACACCATCAAATTGTAGAATAATCTAATCCGGATATATTTTTAACAAAACAAAATTGTGTTTGAGATTGTTTTCTCCTCAGATAGGCTAATTATCTCCCCTGTCAAGTGGAAGATGACATTCTTTGAAGTAAGTCCTGTATGTCATGATAGATGCCAAGTAGTTTTAATGGTGCATCAGATACTTAGAATATCTTGAAAAGAGGAGAAAGTTGCATCTCTACAATAACATCTATGAAATTTAATCTTTAATTTGAAGAACAACCAAATCCAAAACCAAATCAGCTGCATCATAAGCCACTTAAATTCCAACTTTATTTTGACAAAACATATAATGTAATTGTCATCTCAAGTATTTTTGAGATGTGAAGAAGGTATGGGAGTAGAAATGGAATAAAGTAAGAACTGAATTAATGAACTCAGTAGCATGGCATACACACACACACACACTCCAAAAGATTATAAACCATAAGTCAAGAAGTAAATCTTATGTCAAATAACCTTTTACAAATGATTTTAATCATTTGTAAAAGGTTGAAATTAAATTTAGTCTTTTGCTTATTTATAGGGAGAAAGGGGTTGAATTTTTATTTGTACTAAAAGGCAAATATTAGTATTCTTGGGAAAGACTAGCCTGGTGGTTTTTTGGGGTGAAGATGATGATAGTATAATTAAAAGAATATTAATCATTGAATTTTAATCTAGTGCCTTGTATTTACCACTTTTTTATATATGTGAAAATTTCATTTTATCAAAAGTGTGAAGTATGTGGTCCTCATGAGACTAACTGGAAAATGAAAAAGTAGCTTCTTTTTCAATTCAACAGTATACTATTTATTAAGCACCTGCTATGAGGTATGTTTCTGGCATACAGAAATGAATAAGACATAGCTCCTGCCATCAGTGAGCTTCAGAATTGCTGGATGTCATAAGACAACTGAAAGTCTAAACTACTTTTAAGAAAAAACATTGTGCATAAAAATACTCTTTAGAAAGTGTGTGGATAAACTCATGCCACTGTACAACTACACACAAGGCTGATCCCATACAACTGTAAGTACTGTCTTGTATTAACTTGTCCTTAAGCCTCTAGCTAGAAGATACCCTTGTAGAAGATACCTATACACTTGCTACAGTCATAATTTGGTATTTGTAGGCCATTATGAACAGCAGACATATATGCATTAATTGATTCAAGAAATATTTATTGAGAGCCTGCATGTGTCAAGTACTGTTCTGGGTACTGGGGATACGGAGATAATAAACAAAGCATCTGTCTTAATGATGCCTATATTTTAGTGAGGAAGACAGACAATAAATAGGGACACAAATAAATATATGTCAAGTAGTAATGTGCTATAAAACAAAAATAAGTAAGATAAGAAGTTAGAATATTAAACATGGTGGGGATGAGGGCTGCTATTTTGGATAAGATGGTTGGGGATATAAGTACTGAATTTAGAACCCTTTTAAAGAATATTGACAATGAAGTTATTTAATATTAAGCTACATATTCAGGACCTTACCATATTACCAATGCTTTAAAATAAGAAAATATAAATAAGGGGATATTTGGCCCAAGGTGAATATTCTAATAAAGGTGTCACCAGTTGACATTAATGCATTTAGAGGGAAATAAGAGTAGAAATGTATAAACACTAATTACAAAATAGAAATTGGTGACTCCTCAATTACAAAGACATGGTAAGAAATAAATAAGCCAAACAAATTCTATACTTAAGTCTCAGAATGCTTGAAAAACAGTGTTTTGTTTTCTCCCCACAATTTCACACAGACAAGATATCTATCTATCTATCTATCTATCTATCTATCTCTATATATATATATATATATATGTATGTATAATGTTTTAATGCTTGTTTCTGTGGAGGAAACGGATGGTGGTGGGTTGCTTAAAAGTATTTTTAGCAAATGATTACTTCACAATCAAACTTACATCTATTTAAAAAAGAAGGTGAGGTTTTAATATTATGTGTGCATGTATATGTATGTGTGTGTGTGTGTATATGTATATATACATATACACACACACGCGCACATTGTAGGATATATGCATGTATTTCTTGGAAGGAATTTTGGGCAACCTACATACATAGTGATACCGCCTCGGAAACCCAAGGAGGGATCACTATGAGTCAGATCCAACTTGATGGCAGTGAGTGTTTTTTATACATATATAAGTGTGTGTGTGTGTATACAAGCTTCCTCCACTATCCGAAAGTACAGCATTCCCAAGAATTAACCTCAAATGGCATAAAGTGAAGAAGCAAATGTGGCAGAGGATGGATATATATAGGTTTTCCCTGAGCTACCAAATAACCATATAGCCATCTAATTAGGTAGCTGTACAGACCTGTCCAGTGATAGAAGAAAGGTGACAGAAAGAAACATCAACTTTGCTTAAGCATGGATTATTGAAATGGATGTTCTGTCAAAAGTACTCAGCACTTGAAAAAGTCAGCTATTTTTGTGGACATCTTTTTTTCCCAATATGGCAATATAAATTCCAAGACATATTTTCAAATGGACTTTAAAATTAAAAATCTTTTTTTTACAATGAATTTTTTGGATTCTGGTACATTTTTATACACTTGACAAATAGTCGATGAGTTTGGCTTTTTAAATGTTTCTTTAAAATTAGGTACAGCTGCAGGTAGCCATGACTGAGTCCACTTTACTTTTAAACTGATCAATCTAGAAACTTCAGTGACATTATTCTCTAAGCATCAATGTGGAAAACTTAGAATTCTAAGTCTAACTGACTTTCTAAGTATTTTGAAATTTAAGTAACACTTTACCTGTTCATATCATCAAGATGTTCAGCAGCAAAATAAAAGCTTTTGATTTTAGGATGACAGGCTTTGAAGGCACTACAAAAGGAACCAAAGAACATTTATTTTATTTCAAATTTGGAAATAAGTTAAAACCAAATAATTTTATGGGTAAAATTACCTCAACATCTAACCTGCATTCACATACATAATGCTTCTATCATGATGGCAGGTATCAGTAAGAAAATCAGTTTTCTGCCCACAAAACTGTTTTCTCACTACCTCAGTTTATGAGCATTTGAGAAGTATCCTGTAATTTATAAGCTAGAAATTAAAATAACCCTTCCTTTCCCTCCCTCTCCCCAAATAAAATGCACTTACTATTTCTTCCGGCATTCACTGGCTCTATCAATTTTAAATTCAGGCAGACTGATGAATCCTTCTGCTTTTTCATCCTAAAGAGGCAATAGTCTTGTTTAGGATATTAAAACAAAGCTTGAAGTGGGAGATACTATACACTATGCCTTGAATATCTATACATCTACTCCTCCTTTTTCAACTATCTCATTATCCAATATTTCACATTTATAATGATAGTAAAAAATCTATTATCCTACTATTTTGTGCATTAATGACACCATGTCTGCCAGTAATGAATGCTGAGGTGTGAGATGAGAGTAACATTGGCTGTGACAGTTAAGGTTATATGTCACCTTGGCTGGGCCCTGATTCTCAGAGGCTTGGCAGTTATGGAATGATGTAGTCATCCTCCATTGTGTGATCTGATGTGGTCATCCTCCATATTTGCATAATGACAATTTTTGCTTATGACTTGGTCTTTGGAACCTAAGCATGGCATTAAATGAGGAGTGGGGGTACTAATAGATCTGTTCATTTAATTCCTCAAGTCTGACATTTGAACACTAGAATTTCACTCTTAGATATTATATTCAATTAAATTGAAGATTTATTTTGAGCACATAGAATACTATAAATTAGAATATGTACAGAACCTGTGAAAATTCCTTTTATATTACAATTATAGAAAATTCTTTAATTCTCAGTGAAGTATTTTATCAATATTTTCTCTTCAGAATGCATAAATTTTTATAAAATGTGAAATCACTTTAGTCCACATTTACCACAATTTAAAATATTCTGTTTTAAATGTTCAGATGTTAAAACACGGGGAAACTTACTAATTCAACTTCTCTTCCACCTCCAAAAAAATCTCTTATCTGTTAAATCCTCCTCTCAGCAATATTAGATTAGAAAAACAAGATATGAAAGTTACCAAAAACCTTATGTTAGATACAAGTTATCCCTACTAGGCTAAGACTACCTCTGGCAAAACCCTTTAATCATTTTGTTCCTTCTCATGCTCAGGACCAATTGACTCTTCCAAATCTGTATTTGATCTATGCTATACCAGTCCTCAGCTCCTTATATATCAAATTCAAATGATACCATATCCCATCCATTACCTCAAAGGAAAAAAAAAAAAGATTTCTTTGATGTACTGGAGAAGAGCATAATCTCATTTTTTAAAATATGTGTATATATATTTCATATACATATAATCTAAGATTTTATTGTGCATATGTGTATATGTTTTTTGTGTATAAATAAATAAAAAATATTTATTTCAATGCTACACTTCTTTCCAAAACTTAATAAAAATCTGACAACCGATAGTGATTGAAATGTGTGTGCTATGAAAAAGAGCAATATTAAACTTTCTCAATATTTGAATTTTTTTTTTATCTTGAGGCAAATACCACTTCTTCAAATCCTTTTTGAACTATTTTAAATGTTTTTTGGGGTAGTTATTATTTCTTCATAATGATGTAATAAGGATTATTTTAAAACTTTTTTTCCCAAAAATAAGTGTCACAATACACAATAGGATATTTCCTACAATATATACAATTAAATTATTCACTCACCTCTCACAGGGCTAGCATGGTAACAATAACTCTCTGATTGAAACTGAGCTACTGTTCAATAAAAAGGGTACACAGGTTTTCATCATTTAAACTTTTAAAGAATATAATTTAGTATAGAGGAACAAATCTATAAGTAATCTTACAAACAGAAACATAGTGACACTATATCTTGTTACTACTTGACTGGCATATAAAAAGTATTTAATAAATGTTTGTTTATTATATCTAAAATAAGACCCATTTAATGAAATAGAGGATTTTTATTTTTAGGAAATTGTGTGATTACCACAAAAAATATATAAAAAATACAAAAAACAACCAAATCTTTCTATATAGATAATATAGACATTTACATTAAATAGCAAAATATTAATTCAAGAATGTAAAATGAAAAAGTCAATTTGAAAAATACTACTCATGATATATATATTTATTGAGCATTTACTTTGTGCCTGGTATTGTTTTAAGTGGGCTTTACAGGCATTGATTCACTTAATTAATATGATAGCCCAGTAAGACAAGCACTATCATAATCCCCATCTTTCCTCAGATGAGGAAACTGAGGCACAGTAACTCAGGTAGTACAATTTCTGAATCCACTCTCTTAACCATAACATAACAGAACAGAACATTACCTGTCTAGGAAATATAAAATTCTCTAGATAATGTATGTTATAATCACAGACATTAAAATGTTAAATTTTATTTCAAAAATTAATCTTCAAATGCAAACTGATGAATACCTTAATATATTAACATAAAATAATTCAACCAACACACAATATTAACCCATTTACAGTTTTTGATAAAATAAGTAATGATGGAAAGTATTATTAAAAAAAAAAAACAATAAAGTTAACTGACAGAAGGCTATGGCTAAAGAATCAAAGCAAATGTAGAGTTGAGGGACAATCAATGAATGAGGTTTATCTGCTGTGATAGGTGGTAGGCTGTGATAAGATTCTCTGGAAATAAAATCGGAACTCATAAGAACTATTCAGATGTATTATATACCACCCTTCCCCTAATTGGACAAATGAAATGAATACTTGCAGATATTTTCAAAACTAGTCTACTACTATTTTTTTTTAAGAAAAACTGACAAATTTAGATTATATTAATTTATTTAAATTACTAAAGGACTTCCCTAAATAATAACAAAAAAAAATTGAAACTGAACAGAAGCAAGACATTTAAAAATCTGTATCAAATTTCCAGTATATTCCTATAGTTAGGCTATTGTTTGAATTAATTTATTATTTTTGGTTAGATACGTGGAATTTTACTATACTGTATATGTTTCAGGTATGTTGCTACCTTACAATAATTGAGACAAATATTTTTGAAGAACTCCAAAATGCAATTATGCTAAGAGGGCAGGCTGAAAAACCACTAGCAGATGCATCCTAAGCTAGTGTTAAAGTGATTTTTAAGTATAAGTCTCAATATGGTGAGGTCTTTTGTTGTTAAACATAGAAAATGGATGAGAAAAGAAAATGTTTCTATGTCTTACCTCCTCATTAATATACCAATATAAGGATGCATCCTTTAGGACAAACCAATATTTCTTCCATTTCTGTGAAAAATAACTCTTAGCGTCTTTCTTTTTCCAGAGCCAGCCCTCACAGTCACCACGGCCAAGATCTTTACAAGAAATTCGTCTTTTACTCTTGCCTGCTATAGGACCTAAAGATAACAATGAGTGAAAATGTTCTTTAAGTTTTGTACAAGGTATGAGGTTAGAAGATTAATCTATAAATCACAAAAATAAGTTTGGGACTTAACCTCAACAATTCTCATTTTAATACTCTATCAGAATAGAAAAATATGGAAAATTTTAATACCTCTTATACCATAAAACTGACACATAATTTAATCAGAAGCATGTAATCCCAGTCTCAAACCCTGTTGAGACTATTTATTGTACAAGGTTTTTTGTGTTATTATTGAGCTGAAGGAGAAGCTGGTCTTGGGAGTTTCTGTACGAGGGGATTAGGCTCTTCCAGGCTACACAGAAGTGTGCTGGTGGTTGTTACAGTGCAAAATAGCAGGTAAATGCTTCATTTCTTTTTCTTACCTTTGCTTTTCTTCTTTGATTTGTGCTGCAGAGAAGACTGCTGAAATGTCTGAAATCAAAGATAGAGAAGACTGTTATCTGATATTCAGGGTGCCATCCAATCCAAAGTGCCACCATGCCACACACAACTCCCAAAAGCTATGACTTTAAACCCTGGTCAGAGAAAGTCTCCACAGCTTCAAAACAAATTTATATATATTATCTCTGGTAGTGTAGTGCCTAAGGCACTTGACTGCTAACCAGAAGGCTGGCTGTTCAAACCCACCAGCCACTCCTC